CCTTCCTCCATCCCCCTCCCTCTTCCTCTCTCCCTCCTTCCTTCCTTCCCTCCTTCCCTCCCTCCCTCCCTCCCTCCCTCTCTATTTCCCTCTCTCTTTCCCCAGAAGAGAGCTCAGTGGGTTCCTATCTGAGCCAGGTCAAAAGTCCTCTCAGGCCCAAGGGTGCTAGTGTTAGGGGCTCAAATGAAGGCACTCTTTGCATGTCAGCATGGCTGGAGCCCCCGAGGCTGGCACTGTGAGAGCAGCCCCTCCGAGAGCTGAGGTAGGGGTGCCACACTGCCTACTGCCCTTCATCCCCCTAGCCCGCCTGCTTCTGCGTCTTCAGCCTCAGCCTCCATCCTCCCTCCCTTACTCTGGTTTAAGGAAACCCTCCACACTATCCACAGCCTGGCCTCTGCCTAGACACGCATACACGCGCTGCCCAGTAGCTTTGAGGCCCCTTGTTTTCTTTCCATACTGTCTTCTCTCTCCGTGCCCAACTTTGGAAATTCCAAAGTGAATTACTCCATCATCTCCAGGTTATCTCTGTGCATATTCTAGCAGGAGCACACTTTCTCCCCCAGCCTTCCTTGACCCCACCCCCAACCCACAAATCAGAAAATCCAGAATGGTCTTTGGGCTTTTCTGTCCTTCTTAGTGATATGTAGCACAAACCCTGAGGCTCTGTGACCCGAGTGGGATTTGTTATTTGCTCTGGTTCATTAATCCCCAGAGTGCCTCCCCCTCCCAAATTCTGGAAACACTGATTTTGCCTCTGTTAGGATGGGGAAGCTAAGGCTGAATATCTCAGATCATGACAGGAATCTCCTGGGGAAGTGAGTGGTGGACAACCTGGGTGCCCTGTGCACAGGCCTCCTGACCTCTAACCCCAAGCCCAGGGCATTAGCAAGTATCTCCCCCAGCACAGCGGCTCCTCATTGGAAGGGTATGGGGACTAGAGACCCAGAGGCCTTAGGCCAGCAAGGGGGTGCCTCTGCTCCCCTGCAGCCCTAGGCTGAACTGGCAGTCGGGGGTGTAAGTATTGAGAGCACCCCCACCCTGCCCCCAGGCATCAGGCATCCGTGCTTGTCTGGTAACCACTGTGTGTGTTTGCTGTGTCCCCTCCTACCCCTTCCTGTCCCTACCTCTCCCTACCCCCTGGCTGCTCCTCAGACTGTCTCTGGAGGTTATGACCATCCTGTGTCGCTGTGAGAATATTGAGACGTCGGAGGGGGTCCCGCTATTCGTTACAGGGGTTGCACAGGTAATAACCCACCTGCTTCCTCCTCTGTGTCTAACCTTCTCTCTTCCTGCCCTGCGGGGCCTGGCAGGCAGGAGCCGGCTGGAGTCCCCTCCGGAGAGTGCGCCTCCCTCCCCTCTGTTCCCACCTCTGCTTTTCTGGGTGCTAGGATGGATCCCTTTGGGTCCCCAGGTCCCTTGCCCTTGTCTGCTGGGGTTGTAAGTGGGGAAAGAGCAAGGGATTCTGGAAGCTCTACCCAAGTGTGCCAGTGGAGATCCTTGGGTGCCAAGTCTTCATTACTTGGCAGCCATAGCTGGTGAAATCTATTCTTGGGGTGGGATGTTGAGCAACTCCAAGTGCTTTCTCTATAATGTGCAGGTTCCCATCTGCATTGCTTCACTCGCTGGCTCTCTGTTGAGCACCTTCTCAGTTTTAAGCACTGGGAAGGCAGCAGTGAGCATCCAAAAGCCCCTGCCCCTTAGAGCCTGTGTGCCAGTGGGTCCCCAGGCAGGAAGAGGCGAAACAGCATCTTCCCCATCACCCTCCCTCTGCATTTAATTGCCCTTTAGCATTATCAGGCAAAAATCCCACACCGCCACTCCCTTCCTCCCCATCCTGCTGTCTCTCATCGGGAAAAGGCATGTCCCCATCTCGTCAGCCCTTATAGCCACGGGAGGGCAGGCTTCAGTGCAGAGGCCTCAGAAACAGCTCAGAGCACCTTAATTGGAATGGGTAGGATACAGGCCTCCCTCAACACCCCATTTGAAGCAGCCCCTTCCGCCTCCAAACCCACTACTAAACTTGAAACATCTGCAAATGTGCAGGTCCCTTTTAAGCTGGGTAATTGTGAACCCTTGAGGAGTCAGATTGTCTAGGCAGAACAACTCTTTCTAGGGTTCACACTGCTTGGCCAGGAGGCTCTGATGTGACCCCAGCCCACACTCTCTGTGTGGCCCACCTGGGCCTTATACCAGAGAGTGGGCTTCCAGTCATAGCTTGCCAGGTGGAGGGACCAGGCTGGGCTTCCCTGGCAAGGGGCAGGTTCAGGATCCCTTCCGTCTTGGCCCAGCAGTGAGCATACTCCCAGCATGCCAGGCTACCAGGCAGAGCTTTCTAGGCAGCCTCCTGGGGCATCTGGAGTGCTGAGTAGACCCAGGGAATGGCCGACGGTCCCTGAGGGGTGTTCAGATGGCATCCATGTACAGCCTACATGGTGCAGCCTGGAGTATCAGCACTTATTTGCCATCCTAGGACATACACATGCAGCTACACCTCTGTTCTTTCCACCCTGCCAGCTCGGACCACCCACAGCCACTCCTTTTCTAATTCCTTTTCCTCACAATTCACACCAGGCTGACTTGAGCAGAGGGCATGTGTGCACACGCGTAGCCCACTTACACTCCTTCCACCAGAACGACCTGCACCCACCTGGCCCTGCCCTCCCACCCAGCTCCTCCTCACACACTCCCAGGTACAGCCCCTTGGAGAGTCCTTCCCAGCCTCCTCCTCACCAGGACCTTTGGCCCATCCCAGCTGGAGCAGTGAGGTGTTGGACTCTTCCCCCACATCCCCAGGCCCTGGGCCCCCAGACCTATGCCCCTGTTTTGCGTTTCTTGGCAGGATTTCCCTAGAGATTATGACGTTGCAGCCCCGCTGCGAGGACGTAGAGACGGCCGAGGGGGTAGCTTTAACTGTGACGGGTGTCGCCCAGGTATAGTAACTCAGCAGCCCCACGCATGTCCGTTGAGCTGCCTCGTTCCCATGCTGGGATTTGGGGGGAGGAGGAGAGGACGGCAGCCAGTAACAATCTCTCTCCAGTGCCCCTGCCTTAGCCCTCCCCTCCTGAGAGAGGAGAGAGGGTCATCGCCACTGTAACATACTCGCTTGGCCCCATTGGCCACCCAGCAAGACTAACAGACACGCCTTCTCTCCTCAGCGGCCCTCGAGGCACAGAACAAATGCAAGGGCTCCTGTCTCACTAACCCCACCCCCATTCTTTGCAGGTGTTGGAAATGCCAAGCCCCAGAATCCAGGCCTTCCCTGTTCCCTGGGGAGGGGATAGAGGGAGTGGGGCCCAGGGGGAGAGACCAGGTGAGGCAGAGGAGCTCTGGGCTCTGGAAGTTGGAGGCTGCGTTTTATTCCCAGCTAGGGGCTTGGGTGAGGGACTTCCTGCCCTAATCCACCTGTCGACTTCACAGGGCAGCGAGGTTCAGCCATGTTATAGGCCTCTGGTGAGGGGCTTGGCTTTTTACCTCAAAGGAAAGGCACCTGCAGTTGCATCCCCCTGGACCTGTCTCCTATCCTGTCTAGGCTCTTTCCTAGTCTGTCTGTCTGTGTCCCTATTGCTCACTCGCCTTTTCGTACTCTCTGCTCCTCAGCCTGAGGGTCTCCCATGTGTGGGGAGCCTGCAAGGGAGGGATTGGCTAGTGAGGGAACAGTGGGCTACAGGGTGGGGAGATGATCCCCAAAGGCCCAGAAGAGAGGCCTTGTCAGGGCCCAGGGCTGCCAGTGAAGGCGAAGTTTCTCAGTGTGAAGAGAATTCCTTGTGCTGCTGTTTCCCCAGTAGAGGCCTCAGACTGACTCCAGTCCCCCGTCCTAGCCCCCAGGGCCTCCAGATCTGAAAAAGGAGGGGAGGGGCTCAGCTATCACCCTCCACACTTTGGGGTCTGGGGCCTCCATCTGCTTCCCTTCAGCCTGGCTCAGGCCCCTCTGTGACCACTGGCAGGTGAAGATCATGACGGAGAAGGAGCTCCTGGCTGTGGCCTGCGAGCAGTTCCTGGGCAAGAATGTTCAGGACATCAAGAACGTCGTCCTGCAGACCCTGGAGGGGCATCTGCGCTCCATTCTCGGTGAGGCCCTGTCCAGCCTTCAAAGAGCCTCATAGGGTCCCCAAGCCAGGACCAGGGAGGGGTATAGGGCTGGGGCTTGGGCAAAGGCCTGTCTCACAGAGGTTTCAAGCTGAAACATTTCTCCTGGAGTATTACAAAACTTAAGGAGACTTGGGCCAGCCCAGTGGCGCACTGCTACAGTGCACTGCTTGGGAAGCGCGGCGGCGCTCCTGCCGAGGGTTCGGATCCCACATACAGACCGGCCGCTCACTGGCTGAGCGAGGTGCGGGCGCAGCACCGAGGGTTGCAATCCCGTTGCCGGTCCTGGTCCGGTACGGGCGCGACACTGAGGGTTGCGATCCGTTGCTGGTCACGAAAAAAGACAAAAAAAGACAAAAAATAATAATAATAAAGGGCAAAGGCCTGTCTCACAGAGGTTTCAAGCTGAAACATTTCTCCTGGAGTATTACAAAACTTAAGGAGACTTGGGCCAGCCCAGTGGCGCACTGCTACAGTGCACTGCTTGGGAAGCGCGGCGGCGCTCCTGCCGAGGGTTCGGATCCCACATACAGACCGGCCGCTCACTGGCTGAGCGAGGTGCGGGCGCAGCACCGAGGGTTGCAATCCCGTTGCCGGTCCTGGTCCGGTACGGGCGCGACACTGAGGGTTGCGATCCATTGCCGGACGTGAAAAAAGACAAAAAGGAAAAAAAAAAAAAACTTAAGGAGACTTGAGTGAAGGAGAGGACATTGGCAGTGGGGGGGAGGGTTGTCAGTCTGCTTAGGTACCTTGCACTGCTTGGGACACTTTTCCTCGTCCAGCCTGGACTCTGCAGAAGGAGGCTAAGTGTTAAGTGGTGTTGAGAAGAAGCTCCAGGAAGACCCAGCTCAGACTGCATGCACCCAGACCTCTACTTGCATGTGTCCTCCTTCCCCAGCTGGCTGGGCCACTGGGGAGCCAGCCCATGATCCCTCTGCCTCCAGGGACCCTGACTGTGGAGCAGATTTATCAGGACCGGGACCAATTTGCCAAGCTGGTGCGGGAGGTGGCAGCCCCTGATGTTGGCCGCATGGGCATTGAGATCCTCAGCTTCACCATCAAGGTGCGGTGTGATGGGAAGGCTGTATCGCCTAGCATTCTGTGAGATGGGGACTTGGCAGGAGGGGCTGTGGCTGCTCTCTGGGATAACTCTCTCTTCCCTCCCCAGGATGTGTATGACAAAGTGGACTATCTGAGCTCCCTGGGCAAGACGCAGACTGCCGTGGTGCAGAGAGATGCCGACATTGGCGTGGCCGAGGCCGAGCGGGACGCAGGCATCCGGGTACATGGGATTTCCTTTCCACCCCCAGGGACAGGGAGCTCAGGGGTGATGGGACCATGGTCCCTCAGGGGACCCTCAGCACCTGCCCCTCCTGCTCCCAGGAAGCCGAGTGCAAGAAGGAGATGCTGGACGTGAAGTTCATGGCAGACACCAAGATCGCCGACTCGAAGCGAGCTTTCGAGCTGCAAAAATCAGCCTTCAGTGAGGAGGTCAACATCAAGGTGAGAAGCTGTAGGACATCCCAGGTTGGGGCTCAGGGCTCAAGACTTGGTGGCAAGCCTCTGACATGCTGACCACCCTCCTACCACAGACAGCTGAGGCTCAGTTGGCCTATGAGCTGCAAGGGGCCCGTGAGCAGCAAAAGATCCGGCAGGAAGAGATTGAGATTGAGGTTGTACAGCGCAAGAAGCAGATTGCAGTGGAGGCGCAGGAGATCCTGCGCACGGACAAAGAGCTCATCGCCACAGTGCGCCGCCCCGCCGAGGCCGAGGCCCACCGCATACAGCAGATCGCGGAGGGTGAAAAGTGAGAGCCACCCTGGGGCTGGGTTGGGGCTCAGTGGGGCTCCCCTGCCATTGGTACACTGCCCCCATCTACTGACCGTAGCTTGGAAGCCACTTCTCCCTGTGTCTGCCCACTCCCACCTCCCCCACAGGACTGTTGTTAGGAAGACTAAATCAGACAAAGGAGGCTCCAGTGCCTGGTATAGTGTTTGGCACAGAGGACATCTTGGTCAGTTCCCTCTCCCACCTGCAGCTGGGAGCTGGTGGCCTCTCCCTGGTCAGCACCAAAAGACCAGGGTACCCTCCTTCAAATTTCTCCCACCCCTGACAGCCACCAGAGCAGAGGGCTTGAGAGTTTGCTGGCCCCCAGGCAAGGCTTGAGGGGACCGTGGCACCTCTCACTGATCCTGCCTGGTCTGGGCTTCCCTAGGGTGAAGCAGGTCCTCTTGGCACAGGCAGAGGCTGAGAAGATCCGCAAACTTGGGGAGGCTGAGGCGGCAGTCATCGAGGCGATGGGCAAGGCAGAGGCTGAGCGGATGAAGCTCAAGGCTGAGGCCTACCAGAAATACGGAGACGCAGCCAAGATGGCCTTGGTGCTGGAGGCCCTGCCCCAGGTGAGGCTTCCACCCCAAGTTGGGACCCAGGATTCAAGTCTCCTTTCTTGACTAGCTGGGCAAGTGCCAGAACTTCTCTAGGCCTTGTCAGAAGCACAGGCCAGCTAGGATTAAATGGTGCAAGTACTCCACAGGGGGCAGGAGCCCTGTAACAGGCCTAGGCCAGCCCTGGCCCTCTGGGCCTCACCTACCATGGCTTGTGAATAAGGGCTGCCCAGGCTGCTTTGGGGTTTGGGTGAGTTGGAGAAGGGAGGGAGAGATGCTGGACAGGACAGGTGGACAGAGTCAGAGCCAACCATGCTCTCCTCTCACCCCACCTCCTAGATTGCTGCCAAAGTCGCTGCCCCACTGACCAAAGTTGATGAGATTGTGGTCCTCAGTGGGGACAACAACAAGGTGACATCAGAAGTAAACCGACTGCTGGCCGAGCTGCCTGCCTCTGTGCATGCCCTCACAGGCGTGGACCTATCTAAGGTGTGTACCTAGTCAGCTCCAGTGGGGGTGCTTGGCCAGCCCATTGGACTGGCCCAGATGGAGCAGTCCTGGGTCCTGGAGCCAAGGCCTCATGGCATCTCCTGTCCTTGCAGATACCCCTGATCAAGAAGGCCACTGGTGCACAGGTGTGAGGCTCCCGCAGGCCCACACCCTTCAGCAGCCACCTGCCCCACCCTCCAGCACCCGTTTTAATACAACAGGGACGACAGGAACGTTATTGACTCTGGTGCCTTATTTTGTAGGGACCAGAAGTGCTGCGTGTTCAAGCCATCTTTGGCTGTCTTCCTTTCTCTCCTGTCTCTGTCTCCTCCTCTTCCTCCCCTCACAACCTCACTTTCACTGCCACATTCATCTGGTTTGTGTCTTCAACCCTCATCTCTCTGCCTTTGTCTGTCTTTTTCTCTCGCCACCCCCACCCCTACACACATCATGTAGTTTAAGCTGAAGATGTTTATTATAACCACTGTCTGTGGGGGGTGGCCTTGCTGCTCCTCGGAATCCTGGTGCCTTGAAGTTCTCCGTGCATCTGTCAGTCCTCCCTATGGCCCTGGCCAGAGCTCAGCATGGGGGCAGGGGTTCTGGGTAGGACGGTCACTCTCCCCTCCCTGGCCTGGTCTTTCCAGCCCCTCACCCACTCCCCGCAGTAGGCCTGGATTGCCATGGACTGCAGGGCCCTGGGCCATTGCCCTTCACTTCCTCCTCCCCAGGCCCAGGCCTGCTCTCATATTTTCCCCCTCCCTCCCTACCCCAGGGGCACAGAGGCAGGCCTTCTGTCTATAGAGGCTCCCTCAGTTTACTACTGCCTTAGGAGGCCCCTGCTTGTGCTCAGGGAAATCCTCCTCACGCGCATGTCCCTGCTAGGTCGAGTGGGGCTTTGTCCCACCTCTGCTAAGCCTTTCTAGGATCAGCATCTAGCCCTGTTGGGTACAGGAAAGTGTGTAGATCCTCTTCCTGCTAGGGCTGCACTGTCCTGGGTATTGGGCCCCTCCAGTGAGCAAGGCTGTGCCAACTCTGTACGGAGTCCAGTGCTGTGGACTGGCCAGACCCCATGCCCCTTGTGCTTTCTTCCTGGCCAGAGTGATAGGGTTCCAGCCACGGGGCAGCAGCCCAATCATATGTCTCCTTGCTTTAATGGAGGCAAAAGAGCCCAGGGCCCAAGCATCCTGACAGGGGTGCTATGGGTCTCCTATGGTCCTAGTCCCCCACCCCTGGCCCTACCCCAGCCTGTTCCTGCATGTGGATGTTGCATGTCTAGTCTGGGGCTTGATTGTTGCTTTGCCCCACTGCCTGTCCCTTCTGGTAAAATAAAGATTTCTTATGCATAGCCCAAGCATTGTGTCTTCTGTGAGGGGAGAGCCTGGGAACCAAGAACTGCACACCCCTTCAGCCACAAGGCTGCTCTTAACCTGTCCTTCCCTGCGCTAGCCACTGGGGGCATCAGCACACTGGCCTAGCCCTAATAGCAGCCTGGGGTGTGGTAGGGATTGGCCAAGGTGCTGAGGCCTCACCTGAGCTCTGGGAGACCTGGCTCCATTGCAGGCAGAAGGCGGAGGGGGCTACGAGGTTCACTACACCTCTGTGCCAGTCCTGAGCCCTACTCAGTAGTGGCGCATTCACCTCTCTGGCTTGAACTCTGAAGTCAGGCTGTTTGGGTTTTATTTTCAGCTGTTGTTTATCACCTGTAAGATCATGAGCAAGTAATTTCATTTTTCTGGGCCTCAAAACTCATTGATTTTGCAAATTTATCAGATGCTTGCTATGTGCCGGGCATTGTCTTAGATGCTGCATAGACTGCAGTGAACAAAATAAATGCCTAGCCTATAGAGCTTACATTCAGGTGGAAACAAAATAAGAAAAATTAAATATACGAGTATGTTAGATAATGGCAAGTAGTAAGGAGGAAAATAAAACAGGGAATGGAATAGGAAGTTTAGGAGGGTGCTGAAATTTTAGAGTATCCAAGGAAGGAAGCACTGAAGAAAGTAAGGGAATGAGCCATGCAGATGAAATCTGAAGGAAGAGCTTTCTTTCAAACTGGCATGATGAAAGAAGAGCAAGGTGTGTGCAGAAGCAAGCAGGTCAGTGAATGAGAGTATCAGCAGATGAGGTCGAGGTGGAAACCTGTTAGCTGGCCGATTGGCTCAGTTGGTCAGTGTGTGGCACTGGGGGTTCAATCTGTGTACTGGCCAACAAAAAAGAAAAATGGAAACCTGTTTCCAGATCATGTAGAACCTTAATAAGCCATATTTTGGCCTTTGAGATGGGAAGCCACTTAAGAGCTTTGAAAGAGGAGTGATGTGGGCTAGCCCGGTGGCGCACTGCTACAGTGCGCCGCTTGGGAGTGTGGTGGCGCTCCCGCCGAGGGTTCGGATCCCACATACAGACCGGTTCCCGCTCACTGGCTGAGCGAGGCGCGGGAGCAACACTGAGGGTTGCGATCCCGTTGCCGGTCCCGGTCCGGTACGGGCGCGACACTGAGGGTTGCGATCCCGTTGCCGGTCCCGGTCCGGTACGGGCGCGACACTGAGGGTTGCGATCCCGTTGCCGGTCCCGGTCCGGTACGGGCGCGACACTGAGGGTTGCGATCCCGTTGCCGGTCCCGGTCCGGTACGGGCGCGACACTGAGGGTTGCGATCCCGTTGCCGGTCCCGGTCCGGTACGGGCGCGACACTGAGGGTTGCGATCCCGTTGCCGGTCCCGGTCCGGTACGGGCGCGACACTGAGGGTTGCGATCCCGTTGCCGGTCCCGGTCCGGTACGGGCGCGACACTGAGGGTTGCGATCCCGTTGCCGGTCCCGGTCCGGTACGGGCGCGACACTGAGGGTTGCGATCCGTTGCCGGACACAAAAAAAGACAATTAAAAAAAAAAGAAAGAGGAGTGATGTGATCTGACACATCTAAAAGGATCATTCTAAAGAGAAAATTTTTTAAAAAGATCATTCTAGGCACCAAGACAATTCAAGGGAGAAAGGAAAATCTTTTCAACAAATGGTGCTGGAACAATGGCTTTATTAGAAAAAAATTGAATTACATTTCCTACTTCACTCCATACACCAAAACTGGTTTGAGATGGATCACAGATCTAATAGAAAATCTCAAACCATTAAGCTTTATGGCCTGTTATCTCAGGCAGTAGAGCATGGTGCTGATAACACCAAGATCAAGGGTTCAGATCCCCATTCCAGCCAGCCATCAGAAATAAAAAATAAGGGCCGGCCGAGCTAACTGGCCAGCCCGTTACAGCTGAAATAAGGTGACTTGGACCAATGGGAGTGGTGAGAAGCACTCAGATTCTGGATATGTTTTTAAACTAACAGGAGTTGCTGACATATTGAATATGAGAAAAAAAAGAGAAATTAAGAATGCCTTCAGTATGCCTTGTCCGTGAATTCGAAAACTTAGTATTACAAAGATAACAATTCTCCGGGCCAGCCCCGTGGCTCACTCGGGAGAGTGCGGTGCTGACAACACCAAGGCCGCGGGTTCGGATCCCATATAGGGATGGCCGGTTTGCTCACTGGGTGAGCGTGGTGCTGATAACACCAAGTCAAGGGTTAAGATCCCCTTACCGGTCATCTTTTTAAAAAAAAAAAAAAAAAAAAGATAACAATTCTCCCAAATTGATCTATGGGTTCAATACAGGGGCTGGCTGGTTAGCTCAATTGGTTAGACTGCAGCCTTATAAAGCTAAGGTCAGAGTTTGGATCCCAGTACAAGCCAGCTGCCAAAAAAAAAAGATATAGGTTCAATACAATCCCGATCAAAACCCCCAAATATTTTTGTTTTGTATTTTAGTTTTCGTTCTGGTGGTTGGCCAGCATGGGGATCCAACTCAAGAGATTTTTAATTAACAAACTAATTCTGGGGGCCGGCCCGTGGCTCACTCGGGAGAGTGCGGTGCTGATAACACCAAGGCCCCGGGTTCGGATCCCATATAGGGATGGCCGGTTCGCTCACTGGCTGAGCGTGGTGCTGACAACACCAAGTCAAGGGTTAAGATCCCCTTACCGGTCATCTTTTAAAAACAAACAAACAAACAAACAAACTAATTCTGAAAGTTATAGGGAAATGCCAAAGGACCAAGAATAAGCAAGATAAACTTGAAAAAAAAGAGCAAAACTGGAGACTATCAGATAGCAACTCCTAAAGTTATAGTACTGAAAACAGTGGAGAAATGGAATAGAATGGAAAGTCTAGAAATACGGGGCCGGCCCGGTGGCGCACTGGATAGGTGCGCCGATTGGGAAGCGCGGCGGCGCTCCCGCCCGAGGGTTCGGATCCCACATACAGACGGCCGGTTCGCTCACTGGCT